GGAATGGCAGATGGATTACTGTAGGATCTGGTAGACAGAGTTGTGGATAAAAGCCAATTTGCACAGTCTGTTGCTCTACATAATTCATTTTCTGCACTTTCAGAGTGTAATGGTGTTGTGGAGAGAGGCACTGAGGCTAGTGGTGTTGTGGAGAGAGGCACTGAGGCTAATGGATGTTGTGGAGAGAGGCACTGAGGCTAGTGGTGTTGTGGAGAGAGGCACTGAGGCTAGTGGTGTTGTGGAGAGAGGCACTGAGGCTACTGGTGTTGTGGTGAGAGGCACTGAGGCTAGTGGTGTTGTGGTGAAAGGCACCGAGGCTAGTGGTGTTGTGGAGACAGGCAATAGAAAGCAGTTGTTGTTGGGGGATTCCATCATAGGAGGTGTGGAGATGGACAATGGTGGTCTTGTGAGGTGTCTTCCTGGAGCTATTGCTCACAGAGACAGGAGACATATCTGTAATATTGTTAAGCAAGCAAAGCAGGAAGGGGAATTGGATGTACTTGTCCATCTAAGGACAAATGACTTGACTTGCAATGAGGTTTCAGAGGTTAAGGAAGGTTTTAGTGTTTTTGCCAATGATATATGGTAGGTTGCTTCCAAACTGTCATTCTCTGAAGTTCTGCCTGTGCATAACACTCAGAACGACAGGTGGATGCTTATTAGGGACTTTAATTTGTGACTTTGTGAATGGTGTCGGGAGCAAGGATTTGGCTTTATTTCTCATGGTAGCTCTGTTTGGAATGGAAATAAGCTGTACAAAAAAGATGGTTTGCATCTTTCTCAAAAGGGAACACATGTTCTCAGTGAGCAGTTCAGAGGTTTTGCTAGGATGTATTTAAACTAGGGGGGTGGGCAAAAGGGTGATAAAACATCAATCCAATTGTACCCCAAAACAAGGACAGAAGGTGCCTGTAGCAAGTGTGTTAAAAAATGATAAGCTTAGAGTCATGTCTACAAATGCTCGCAGTTTAGGGAAAAAGATCCATGAACTTGTGGCAATAATGGCAACTGATAGTGTAGATTTAGTTGCTGTTACTGAGACATGGTATAATGAGAAAAATGACTGGGACATAGAAATACCAGGGTACTCTTTATATAGAAAAGATAGGGAAGGCAAGAAAGGGGGAGGGGTGGCCCTGTATGTGAAGGATAGCATAAATCTAGCCTAATAAAAGTTTGTGAGGCAAACATAGAGTCCGTTTGGGTTACGTTAGAATTTGGTAATCAGACAGTAACTCGTGCAGGTGTGATTTATAGGCCCCCAGGACAAATTGAAGAGTTAGATAATCTACTAGTTGAGGAAATAGCTAAACTGACAATGAAGGGGGAAGTTATCATCATGGGTGACTTTAATCTTCCTGATGTAAATTGGAAAACAAAATTAGCTACTTGTGCCAGGAGCACACATATTCTAAACTCCCTACTAGGATTGTCTCTAAAACAAGTTGTTGAGGAGCCAACTCGTAAAGAGGCCATACTAGATTTAGTGTTAACAAATGGAGATTTGGTATCAGATATTACTGTAGGTGAAAGTTTAGGATCCAGTGATCATCAGTTAGTGTGGTTTAATATAAGTCACACCACACAAAAACAAAAGTTTTAGACTTTAGAAAAACAGACTTTTCTAAAATTAGAATATGTGTAGAGGAGTCATTATCAGACTGGAGCAATTTAAATGGAGTCCAAGAGAAATGGGATTATTTAAAGTTGCACTATTGAAGGCAACAGAAAATTGCATTAGGCTTGTCAGTAAAAGCAAAAAATTCAAGAAACCACTGTGGTACCCTACGCCCAGATGTAGCCAAAAATAGTTAAAACAAAAGTTAGCATTTAGAGGTTATAAAAAAACCCAGAGTGAGGAGAGACAAAAGGCCGTCTATAAGATTAGGCAGAAAGAGGCTAAACAAGTTATAAGAGCTTCCAAATCACACACAGAAGAGAAAATAGCACAGTCAGTAAAAAGGGGGATAAAACATTTTTTAGATACATAAATGAGAAAAGAAAAGTAAAACAAGGATTAGTTAGATTAAAAACAAAAGGAAGGAAGGTATGTAGAAAAGGATAAAGGTCTAGCTGACTGCCTTAATGAATATTTTTGTTCTGTATTTACAGATGAAAATGAAAGAAAAGGGACCTCAGTTAAGAAAAAGGATAAGTGGTATTTTATTACACGTGAGTTTACAGAGGAAGAGGTTCTATTGCAACTGTCAAAAGTAAAGACAAATAAGTCAATGGGACCTGATGGAATACACCCAAAGCTATTAAAAGAGCTTAGTGGTGTACTAGCAAAACCATTAACAGATTTATTTAACCAATCATTGTTAACAGGAGTAGTCCCAGAAGATTGGAAGTTAGCGAATGTTGTACCCATTCACAAGAAAGGTAATAGGGAGGAGTCGGGCAACTATAGGCCAGTAAGCCTTACTTCAGTAGTGGGAAAGTGATGGAAACCATGTTAAAGGATAGGATTGATGAACATCTAAAAACACATGGATTTCAAGATCAGAGACAACATGGGTTTACTTCAGGGAGATCATGCCAAACTAATCTTATTGATTTTTTGATTGGGTAACTAAAATAATAGATCAGGGTGGTGCAGTAGACATTGCTTACCTAGATTTCAGTAAGGCTTTTGACACTGTTGAACATAGAAGGCTTATCAATAAACTGCAATCTTTAAGTTTGGATTCCAATATTGTTGAATGGGTAAGGCAGTGGCTGAGTGACAGGCAACAGAGGGTTGTGGTTAATGGAATATATTCGAAGCTTGGACTTGTCACCAGTGGGGTACCTCAGGGATCTGTACTTGGACCCATTCTCTTTAATATTTTTAGTAGTGATATTGCAGAAGGTCTTGATGGTAAGGTATGTCTTTTTGCTGTTGATACTAAGATATGTAACAGGGTTGATGTTCCAGGAGGGATAAGCCAAATGACAAATGATTTAGGTAAACTAGAAAAATGGTCAGAATTGTGGCAACTGACATTTTAATGTGGATAAGTGCAAGATAATGCATCTTGGACGTAAAAACCCAAGGGCAGAGTACAGAATATTTGATAGAGTCCTAACCTCAACATATGAGGAAAGGGATTTAGGGGTGATTATTTCTGATGACTTAGGTAGGCAGACAATGTAATAGAGCAGCAGGAAATGCTAGCAGAATGCTTGGTTGTATAGGGAGAGGTATTTGCAGTAGAAATAGGGAAGTGATCATGCCATTGTAGAGAACACTGGTGAGACCTCACTTGGAGTATTGTACACAGTACTGGAGACCGTATCTTCAGAAGGATATTGATACCTTAGAGAGGGTTCAGAGAAGGGCTAGTAAACTGGTTCATGGATTGTGGGATAAAACTTACCAGGAAAGGTTAAAGGATCTTAACATGTATAGCTTGGAGGAAAGACGAGACAGGGGGGGATATGATAGAAACATTTAATTATATAAAGGGAATCAACACAGTTAAGGAGGAGACTATATTTAAAAGAAGAAAAACTACCACAACAAGGGGACATAGTCTTAAATTAGAGGGACAAAGGTTTAAAAATAAGATCAGGAAGTATTACTTTACTGAGAGGGTAGTGGATGCATGGAATAGCCTTCCAGCTGAAGTGGTAGAGGTTAACACAGTAAATGAGTTTAAGCATGCGTGGGATAGGCATAAGGCTATCCTAACTATAAGATAAGGCTAGGAACTAATGAAAGTATTTAGAAAATTGGGCAGACTAGATGGGCCGAATGGTTCTTATCTGCCGTCACATTCTATGTTTCTATGTTTCTATGAGATGTAGAAAGAAAATATCAGTCTACCTATATCCCATGGAATAAGTAGAGTAATTGGATATATCCAATTGCTAATCTGTGTGACAAAAGTATATTCCCTAGAAAGTTTTCTGTATACCAGGTTTCATGGGCGTCCGCAGGAATTTTTCCAGGGGGGGGCATAATTGTAATGACATCCATGCTTGGTACCTTTTTGACAGTGTCATGAAAGGGAAGGGGCATAGCCATTATCACATAAAGCCAGGGTGAATAGCATTTTCACAACTATGGTGTCAGGAATATATGTTTGTATTCCTGACACTATAGTGTTCCTTTAAGCAAATTAAAGGACATTTCTGGTCACCATAACAACTTCATCTAAATGAAAATGCTATGATGCCAGGAAGCCCCTGGATGCTCGCTTTCCTTTAAGGGGTTAAATCGCTCTCAAATGGTTTAACCCCAAAGGCTTCCTCCAGCTCCAGGTCGCTCAGTGGTATTTGGCTTCTGAAACAGAGTGTCAGGAAGTGCAGATTGGCGTCAGGCATGGGTGCCGCTGACTGGCTAGAGTGGTCAGTTGACGCTCTAAGCCAATCGCTAGTTCCCAGTTCATAAAATATTTTTACTTTTTTATGAATTGGGAGCTACTGATTGGCTTAAGAGTGCCAGCTGACCGCTCTAGCCAATCAGCAACACCCCTACCCAACGGCACTCTGTGCTTCCTGACACTCAGTAAATAAAAGTGAACACATTAATACTGATATTTTTTTACCTTTGGAGATGAGTAGGTCCAGCGTTTCCCTGCCAGGCCCAGGTACCAAAGCCTTATGATGTGGTGTCCAGAATAAAGTGGAGGTTCACTTCATTTGTCCTTCCTGCTCCAATCTCCTTTTCCTCTCCTTCATTTGACAGTCTTTTTTTTTCTTCTGACACTGTTTTCTATCCTTGGCCCCTTCTGCTCTTTTACCTTTCTGCTACTTTCTACTTATTTTGCGCCCTTCTGCTCCTTTCTCATTCTGATCCCTTTCTGCTCCCTTTTCTACTTTACCTTTGTGCTCCTTGCTGTCCCTTTCTGCTCTTCCTCCTACTTTACCTTTGTGCTCCATCTGATTCTTTCTGCTCCTTTACCTTTGTGCTCCTTGCTGTCCCTTTGTGCTCCTTCCTGCTCCTTGCAGGCCCTTCCTGCTCATTCTCCTACTTTATGTTTGTGCTCCTTCTGCCCCTTACAGCTCATTTCTGACCCTTTCTGCTCCTTCCTGCTCCTTGCAGGCCCTTCCTGCTCATTCTCCTACTTTATGTTTGTACTCCTTCTGCCCCTTCCAGCTCATTTCTGACCCTTTCTGCTCCTTCTACTTTACCTTTGTGCTGCTTTACCTTCCAGCTCCTTGCTGACCCTTCCTGTTCATTTCTTTATATCTATAGGCTGCTGCCCACCCAAAGCTATGGGCTGCTGCCCCCCTCCCCAAATCTATGGGCTGCTGCCCCCCCAAATCTAAAGGCTGCTGCCCCCCACCCAAATCTATAGGCTGCTGCCCCCCTCCCCAAATCTATGGGCTGCTGCCCCTCCCCAAATCTATGGGCTGCTGCCCCCAAATCTATAGGCTGCTGCCCCCCTCCCCAAATCTATGGGCTGCTGCCCC